AGTCGGCCGCTTAACCGACTGAGCCACCCAGGCACCCCAAGAGATGCATTTTAAATGTAAAGGCACAGATTGGTTAAAAGTGAAAAGATGAAAAAGAATATACCATGCTGACAGTAAGCATAAGAAAGCTGTAGTAGCTACAGTAAAGTCAGATAAAGTAGACTTCAAGACAAAAGGTGTTACTGGATGTAAACAAGAACATTTCATACCAATAAAAGGGGAAATTTATCAGGAAGATCTAGCAGTAATAAACATCTTCATGTCTAATAACAGGCTTTAAATTACAAGAATTAAAAATTGTCAGACCAAAATGGAGAAATAGACAAATCTACACTCATAGTTGGAGATTTTAATACTTCTCTGTAACTAATTGAAAGAATTACTAGACAGAAAATCAGTAAGGATGTAGATGATCTGGACAACACTAGCAGCCACCTTAACCTGTTTTATATTTACAGAACAATAAATCCAACAATTGCAAAATACACCATTTTTCAAATGCACATGGTACATTCACCAAGAGATGATATTCTGGGCCATCAAATAAGTCTCAATATGTTTTAAGGATGGAAATCACACTAAATATGTTCTCTGACACAATGGAATTATCAATAACAATATACCTAGGAAGTCTTCAAATATTTTTATTTTATTTATTTATTTATTTATTTTTTTCAACGTTTATTTATTTTTGGGACAGAGAGAGAGCATGAATGGGGGAGGGGCAGAGAGAGAGGGAGACACAGAATCGGAAACAGGCTCCAGGCTCTGAGCCATCAGCCCAGAGCCCGACGCGGGGCTCGAACTCACGGACCGCGAGATCGTGACCTGGCTGAAGTCGGACGCTTAACTGACTGCGCCACCCAGGCGCCCCTCTTCAAATATTTTTAGACTATAGTTGTTGTTTTTTTTCTTAATTTACATCCAAGTTAGTTAGCATATAGTGCAACAATGATTTCAGGAGTGGATTCCTTAATGCCCCTTACCCATTTAGCCCATCCCCCCTCCCACAACTCCTTCAGCAACTCTCTGTTTCTTTATATTTAATATATATAAATTATAAAATATAAATCTATATTTAATGTGTATATATATCTTAAGATCTTATATATATCTTATATATATTTGTATATATATAAACAAAAAGTAATGTTTTTATATTATTTTTGCTTCCCTTATGTTCATCTGTTTTG